GTTTTTTTTTTTTAATTACAACTTTTTAACTCAAATATAATACAACTTAGTTCTACTCAATATATCCTCGAACATCACATTCTCACATATCAGATGGATTCTAACCACTATCCATCACTATCATTTTTAACTACACGTGTCATTTCTCATAACTTCTCTTATACTTTTAAATCACAAAAATGTTAGTCATTACGTTTTAAATATTACTTAAATACAAATTCAAAATTACACTTGAATCTCAACTTAATTTAACTAAAAAAATAATAATTTTGACTTGTCGGGTAAAATATTTTTACACCAACATACAATTAGATAAAAAATAAATTTTCAAAATCAATTACTTGTATAATCCAACTTAATAAGAATATAATTAAATAATATAAAGTAATCATTATCACACAATTCTCAAGTTCATTGTTCATTTACTAGCATATATTTAATACTAATCATTATTGTACTACTTTTAGTCTTTTACATCAAATCAATATTATTTAGTACTCTAACGCATAACCCTTAACAAACTCAAATTTAAATTTAAATTTTCACAATCATCTTTTTTCAATCTTAATTAAGTTTATCCAGTAAATCAAAATTTACCCCACTAAACAATCGAACTTTCAAAATTTATCCCGACCTGCTCAACTGTTGCGACAGGCCCAACAAAACAATCATTTCCACATCAACGATCTTCAAATCAACAAAAGGAAATAAATAAATAAATAAATGAAACATTAAAAAAGGGGGAAAAAGAAAATCGAAGCACCCTCGATTTTAGTAATGTCGGACTCCTCATCCTCCTCCGGTACATCTGAATTTTCTTTACCCTTTTTTTTCTTCGCAAACAATTGATTTGACTGTATAATTATCGCAAATTTTCATCTTCTATTCGCACGGTATAATCAGGCATTTAGGTTGCTTGTAGCTATAGCCCTTGATTTGATTTGGTTTTGTTGAGTTATAGAATCTTGATTATCGATCTGTACTCGAATGTTTTTTATTTTTTCAGGAAAATTCAAATCAAAATGGGGAGTTTCGCCTTCAGACGTTTTCTACCATTTTGGCACGAGCGGCATTTCTGTTGCTACTGCGACAGGCGTCACTCATCCTTTAGGTTCGAATTCGTCCTCTATTTTTTTAGCTCAATGTGTATTTGTACGCGTGCTCGCTTTTTTTTCGTGTATTTTATTTTATTTTATTTTTTTGCAAACAGAGGTGCTGATTGGTGGGCTTGTGTTTGATGTATTTTTTCATGCTTTTTTCAGTATTTTAGTCAGTGTCCAAGTTATTCTTCTGATCTTGCTGCAAACGTGCGTTTTTAGACGGTTGATTGAGTTGTGAGAACGGTGGGTTTTAAGCAAAAATTGTGTCTCTACGTATAGACAAGTGTGAATATGTGTATTTTGGCAGGAGGTTCGATTTGTCCTCGCTTTAGCTCATTCTGTATTTCTACGTGTGCTCGCTTTTTTCGTGTATGTTTTCCGCATTCACTATTTATACTTATTTGGAAACTTGTGGTTTTGATGGGTAGGCTTGTAATGGATGTTTTTCTTCATGCATTATTTAGTATGTTTAGTCATTATGTCCAATTTATTCTTTTGCACTTGCTGCGAAGGTGTACTTATCGATGGTTGATTGAGTCGTGGGAATGGTGGGTTTTGGCGCTAAATTTTCCGGCTACATCAATTGTGAATGTGTGATGCACAATTAGCTGGGATTCTTATGAACTTTGCTGTCATGTATGTGAATTTGTTTTAATATTGGCTCTACAGACGTTCTCAAAGTGAGACTTCAAATGCAACTCGTCGGCCAAAGAGGTCCGTTAATCGGCATGGTGTGTACGAACAATTTTTAAATCCCATTTATATGAAAGAAAGAGAAAGAAGTTTTAACTTTTAATTGATAATCTAGGAATTGGGCAGAGTTTGTTCGGTAAATAAGATTGTTTTTCTGGTGGGCACACGCAGGGGAAACTCTCTATGCAAATCGTGAAAAATGAAGGGCTAAAGTCCTTGTATCTAGGATTGACTCCTTCATTAATAAGGTCAGTTCTCTATGGAGGTCTTCGTTTAGGATTATACGAACCTTCGAAATATGTCTGTGAATTGGCTTTTGAGTCGACCAATGTCTTGATGAAGATTGCATCTGGAGCCTTTTCAGGCGCATTTGCCACTGCGTTGACCAATCCGGTGGAGGTTTTGAAGGTACATAATGTAATTGGCGTTAAGGATGTGATTGGATATGGATTTGATTGGTTTTTTATTTTTTTATTTTTTTTAACCATTGTTAATTTTGAAAAATGGTATGGTTACTGGGAATTTAAGTTTAAATTAAAATAATATTTAAAATAAAACAATTAAAGTTGATTTGATACAAAAGTAGGAAAGGTGGTGTGAAGTGATGGTTAGTTAAAATTATGTGAGCGGATGAATAGTGAATTAAAATTGATGTGATGTGTAATAATGATTAGTTGATATTATTTAATTATATTGATAATATTGATGATAGTGGGTTTTGAGTTAAAGTCCAGTTAAATTTGAGTT